ACCATATGAGCATGACCATATGAGCATGACCATATGAGCATGAAACTGAGAAAACTCAGGGAGTTAGAGAAGGACCGAAAGGCCTGGCACAATATGGTTCATGGGGTCACGAAGAGTCGGACACGACTTAACGACTAAACAACAACAACAACAGCGATATGACCACTTTCATATATAAACCGCTAAGGCTTGGTTGGGGAATCAAAACTTAACTAACAGTGGGAAGAATCTTTACCTAACGTATTTTGAAATGCAGGGCCATCTTTTGTCAGCCTTTGAACATACTCTGTGTGTGGGTGCATGAGAGAGGGAGGGAGTGCATCTCTTTGTGTAAGATTGCACTCAGTGGTGACTTTCCCTTAGGGTGGGGATCATTAACACTTCTCAGCTTAAAGGGCCATGCCAGTTACAAGGCTGGAGGTCAGGAGATGCATCCTTTTGCACCCATCAAACATTCAGTCTATAACGTAAGACTTCGACCTATCTCCTGATGGTTTTTGTCAGATTGCTGCTTTCCCACTATTAGCCAAAAATGGTGATCTCTTTCCTATCAGCCATTTGATAGTGGGTTGGTTGGTTTGTTGCTGTTTTTGTCTGCAGGCTGCCAAAAGTGCAGAGAAGGCCTAAACGGGAACAGCTTTCAGCCATCCCTTTTCTAACTTATGCAAATTGCTTTTCCTCCTCCTAAGTATTCAGAACAGTTAGAACACCCTAACCCTGAAGATGTTCCAAAAAAGAAAGCCAACTCCTTTTATTCAGCCATTTCAAATGAGCAAAAATCTGTAGTTTCATATTTTATCAACCTACCTGAAAGTTGAACCTCAATCTCCTTTTCCCGTAACAGTGCGTTACCTTAGTGATACGCACACCTCTTTTGCTGCAGTGTCTGCATTTTGAGGCCTGTTGGAGAAAGTTGAATTGTTTTATATTAGGCAGACTCCAGCAGTAGGCAAAAGATAGATATTACACCAAAATTCCCTTTCTTTAATGGACAATATGTTTCTCTAATTGGATCAGTATCTAGGCATGGGTAGATGCCATGCAATTAGCAGCTGGTCGTTCGCTAAAACCACTTGCTGACTTCTTCCTGCCACGCTAGAGAGGTTTTGCAAGCAATGCTGGAAACCTACAATACTAGTCAAGCCTTGTAACCTGTAAGGCAAATTGAATTTTCTGTCAACAAGCTGATTCATCATATTGAAGTCTTCCAAGACCTATTAACTGCTGCTGAGGTGGAAAGCAGCTTCATCTGGAGCAGAAGCTCTAGTTGGCCAACTTGCACATGTTATTCATGCTTTTTATTTTGAGAGAGAGAGAGAGAGAGAGAGCGACCAGTTTGGTGTGGTAGTTAAGGCACCAGGCTAGAAACCAGGAGATGGTGAGTTTTAGTCCCACCTAGGCACAAAGCCAGCTTTCTCTCATCCTTAGGAAGGAGGAGGCAAGGGCAAACCCCTTCGGAAAAACCTTGCCAAGAAAACTGCAGGGACTTGTCCAGGCAGTCTCTGAGAATCAGATGTGATTGAAAGGGGGGGGGAGGGCTGCAACCAAGTGTGTGAGTAAAAGCAGTGTTCCCACAGTTGCATTTGCATTCTTTGTCTTTTTAGCCTAAGCTCTCATACTGACCTTGATTTCTGTGATGGTTGAAAACATTAATCATTCATATAAAACTAAACATAGAAAGTGGTAGAGTTACAGGAGTTAAGATTAAAGGGATCTTAATTTGGGGGTGGTGAGATGTTTAATCGTTCTATTGACATGAATCCTACTCTGTGAAAAATCGTGAGTTGTAAAATTGTAGCAACCACAGATAGCCGCTAGTTATTTCTCATCCATCACTGAACATGAATCAAATGGTTGCATGCTTGATGGGACATAACTATAAGCAAGGAAAAAACAGAACTGAAAAATAGCATTCCCAGACCTCTAGGTGGAGCTGCTGCTTGTCCCTTTAAATATTGTGTGCACATCCTGTTTCTTCCAGGGCCACTACAGTTTTTTCCTCACCCCAGCTGTGGGTTTTAGCTTTAGCCAAGAAAAAGTCACAGCCTGCAAAGAGGCAGAATGCTTGAATAAATGCCAGTTAAGTCCATTTATAAGTGCAGCACATAAACACGCTGTTTTGGATCTGGTAGCACCATCCTTAGGAGGGGAACAGTGCTCTCAACGTCCCTGCCAGCCGGGGGAACAATTACAGATATACACACACCTGCACACAAGCGTTTAGAACGTTACTGCAAATTCCTTTCGGACAGACCAGGCAAAATAAGAAAGGAATAATTTAAAAATGTCATCAGGAAGTCCCTTTCCTTCTCAAATGCTTAAGCTAGAAATCAGCCTCACTGGTTCGTTGAAGTAAATGAACAACAGCTGGTGAGTTCATCGGACATTCTGAAAGCTGTTGTAGGAACATGGCGTGTTAGGACTTGCTTACTTGCCATTATTCCCAGGACTGAAGGCGAGGCAATCGTAAGTTGAGACTGGCCTAATTAAAGGATCTCATAAACCTACCAAAGAATGACAGTACAACACACACACACTATATATGTATGTATGTATGTACGTACAATACAGTGCCATGAAGGTCTTCAAACACTATCAGTTGGAAAGTATTTTTCTTCTGTAAATAAAAGTAGCCACGAGGAGGTTCATGAAAAGATGGCAAAAATTTACACACACACATCCCAAAATGCCATGATGACATACTGAAAGCTTCAGCTAGAAGCACCCTAGAACCCTAACCCTATCACTGCTGGGTGACGTGCAAGTCATGTGGAAAAGCTTCTCTTCAGCCAGGAGCTCCACAAAAGCCTTTCAAGAGAGACGCCTCACAATGAAATGTGTTGTCTTGGCTTTCAATATCCCCAGCAGCTCTTCCGTTTCTCTGTGCTTTTCCCGACTGATGCAGGCAGAGAAGCCAAAGGCTTTCATAATCACATTGTTATTCTTATTACCTCATTATGTCCTTCTCACTCAAATCTTCCACTGGGATAGAGTTCTTTATTTGTGTAATTTAACCAATGACCATGGGCAGGGTGGAAGTAGTGGCTTTTGTGCTATTTTGCAATTGTACTGTTTTTTTAATAGAGGACATTCTTTCTAAGAGAGGACATTCTTTCTAATAGGGGACATTCTAACCTGAAATAAGAAAGTACATTTTTGGCAGTAAAATAAGCTTCTAAATAAAAATGAAGTCTTTTAACATTAGAGGAGACCAGAGTCCACTGCATAGAATCATAGAGTTGGAAATGACCTTAAAGGTCATCAAGTCCTACCCCCTGCACACCACAAGGTTCATTACACCATCCCTGATGATGGTTGACTCTCCAGCCTCTGTTTGAAAACCTTCAGTGCAGGGGAGGAAACCACTCCATGTTGTAACCTATTCCATTGGTTGACAGCTCTTACTGTCAAAAAGTTCTTCCTAATATCTATTCATCTCTTGATGGTTTGAGATTCTTATTATAGTTCTGTGGAAAGCAAAATAGTTATGGGAATTAAAAAAAAAAATTAAAAGAGTATACTGTCGTTCAGAAGCTCCTGTCCAGAGGTCAATGAAACCTTGCCTGTTTTCTCCACCAAAAATGTTCTAATTTTCCTAC